GGTTAGCAGCAGAAACACGTTTTTCTGTTTAAATCCGTCCGGAGCAGAAATGAACCACAAGAGCAAGAAGAGGATTAAAGAGGCGAAGCGGAGCGCCAGGCCCGAGCTGAAGGACTCGTTGGACTGGATCAAACACGGATATCACGACACTTTCGACCTGTCTCACGTCACCGTGAAGGTAACTGTCAATGTAGCATCCGAGGCTAGGCTAACGCTAACTAGCCGCGGCTAACAGGAGGAGTGCGGTTCGTCACGTAGACACCGAGCTGCTGATCGATCACTTTATTATCGATTATTACATCATTATTGGTTAGTTATTGAGTTCATTTCACACCCTGACGACTTTTATCACATTTACATTTAATTTAATGAGTTATAAAGTAAACTCTGGTCTGTGCTCACATTAATATATATACACATATACACATATATATATATATGATGCTTTTTACATTTATGGATTTATATTTTTATTATTTCATTCTAATAACAGTGTTTCGCTTAAGAAGGTAATTTTCTATCATTTAGTAAGACTACGTAAACCAACTGAAAACACTTTTAAGGATATTTTATATTCAAGTAGTGGAATTCCAGAGTTTATATGAAAACAGAGAATTCTGATGAAATTCCTGAGCAGATTATTTCCTGTTTTTATACAATGATCTCCATCCCAGTCATATATACCTAATGATCTTATTTTCCAAACATATTCCAGGTGTTTTCTGCTGTTCTATTAAACTAGTTCACTAACAACAGGCCTAAATGTACATTTAGTTTTTTAAATGCCCTTAAAAGTCAAGACGGCCTTGTGAGCCGCTGGTGAAGCTTTGGGAGCCCACAATAGGTGATGTTTGAACCCCCAATTAATGCCAATATTTATGTGTGTAGTGTTATAGTGTTGTAGTGTTATAGTCGGACAGAGTTCACCTGGTCTACAAACTCTAATAAGTTTTAATAAACTGAAAAAAAGACAGAAAACCCATTGTGAGTTTGTCCTTTAAGAGAAAGCAGCTCTGAGGCCGCTGTGTGTGTGTGTGTGTGTGTGTGTGTGAGTGTGTGTGTGTCAGTGTGTGTGTGTGTGTGTGTGTGTGTGTGTGTGTGTGTGTCAGTGTGTGTGTGTGTGTGTGTGTGTGTTGGAGGTCATCAGATGTTAAACTGTCCGACACCAGAGGACAGTAAAGTAACCCCCCCTCCCTCTTCACCTCACTGTTACCATGGTTACCCTGCACCCTCCCTCCCCCGTGTGTTACCATGGAGACCTGCGCCCCCTCCTCCTGCTCTTCTTCTTCTTCTTCATGTTGTTTTTTATTTTCTTACTGAAGGTTTATTGGAGTTTGTTCTGTTCCTCGTTCACTGTCAGTAGAAACTTCAACTTTTATAATAAAACAACCAACTGAGGGAAAAACACACACAGTCTGTCTGTTGTCTTCACTGCCCACTGACTGTCCTCCTTCAGGTCCTCATGCTCTGGGCCCCACTGTCGGTGGAGAACCGGCGTGGTACCGATCTTCAGACGTGTTCTTGTGTCTTTTTTCACTTCATTGTCACAAAGAAAACTGAATAAATAATGTTGAGGAATATTAATTGTACTGGAAACAAACCTTTTTTCAACGAGAACTTTAACTTCAGTCAGTACGCAGCAGAAATACCTTCAGATTAACTAACTAAACCTAAACTGAACCTAAACTGCTGCAATAAGCTGTCTTTAGAGTGGGACGTTGTACAGTCAATAATATTATTACTATATCACAAACAGCATTAGTTTTGTGTGCAGTCTCAACATGTAAGAAAAAAACCAACAAAGCTCACATAATGATAGTAAAACTGAGAATAATCCCAATATGACTGGTTGATGTGAGCGTTACTGCAGTGATTGAAGGAGGAAGTCGACCACTAGATGGCAGTAAATCTACAGTCTTTATATTGGAAACAGCTCAGGTACCTGCTGTGTTACTGGAAACACAACGTGTGAAGTTCACAGTGAACAATACAGGTTCAAATGACTAAAGCTCATAACAGTATATACACACATATATATATGTGTATATATACATATACACATACACACACACCCCACTCTGACAGTGTATTTTCTTTATTAGACAGATTCATAGATGCACAGGTTCAGTTCAGTTCATTTTACTATCCCAGATAGGAAACTTGATTCGCAGTCAGAGGCACAAACATAAAAAACAAAAACAAGTACAAACAAAAAGTACCAAAAACAAAAATGATCCCTGTAAATACAATATACAATAAACCATAGCAACAACAATGCAAACATACATACATACATACACACACAGGCAAAATAATTAACGAGAAAAACTGCTCTACTTTAATTGCTGTGTATTAGCTCAGTGGTTCTCAAACATTTTTCAATGTGAGAAGGTCATTCTAACTCAAAACATTTAAGTAACACAAATTAAATTTTGTAAGTTACATTAACATTTCTGATTAAGCACATTTGTATAGTTATTTTATTATCACAGTACAAATAAATGAAGTCAGTGTCACTTCAAATTACTAAAACTACTTGATCAAAAATGTTCTTAACTTACTTACTTAATATTAAGTACATTTGACTTAAAATCTTTAATGTAATCAGTTAAATGAACATATCCGGTTTTACAGTGAATAAAGTACCCCCATTATTTCAGCCAAATACCCACTGACTAAACATTTTTGGTAGAAAGTAGACGAGAGAGGTTGATGCATGTTTTCTTTTTCATTTCTTCCTCCTTGTTTTCAGCTCTGTTACTATGTTTCTATCACTAATCCATTTTTCTTGATTTTCATCTGCCATTAAATATTAAAACAAGCTTCCTGTTGGCTTTATTACAGTATAATTATTTTAGGAATTATTAAATCTCACGTGCCCCCTGCAGTACTCCAAAGTACCCCTAGAGGCTCACGTCCCCCTATTTGAGACACTGTATTAGGGTGTTGCTTCTTTACTCTCCTTCAGGGTAAATAAGCAGAACAGAATCACATTATTGTTCATGATGATATTATTCCTGTCTAATACAGGACATAACACATATAACATGTATAAATACATTCTCTAAAAGTACTTACTTTGAATAAAATAGCTTTAGAATTTATTCCTCATTTCGTTAGTGTCCTGTTTGTGTCACTGCTGTGTTATTTTCTGGAAAGTCTCTAATGGAAGCAGAGCTGACCACAGTGGCAATACTGCGTATCTCAGATAGTTAGGTTGCATTAATGTGGAGCTGAAACCTTCTCTTTATTTTATGTGATAATCAATTGAATACATTTGATTTTGGAGTGATTGTCAGACAAAAATAGCAATTGGAAGTTTTGAAAATATGAGATTTGACTATTTTTGGACCA